TGGCTGCGCGTGTGGCTGCCGCCGCCCGCGGCCGGCCCTGCCTCGGCGGCGCGGGGCTGAAGGGCGCCGCGCACCTGTGGCAGCTGCTGTAACCGAGCCGGCCGCGCGGGGAGGGAGCGGGGGGGCGGCCCTGGCCGCGGAGCGGAGCGCGGGGCCCGCGGGGAGCTCCGGCGCGGGGCTGCCTGCCCGCCTGACTCAGCACGCCGGGCAAGCAGGAGTGGCGGCGGGGGGTTCGGAAATAAATAAAAGCGAGAGAGAAGAGGGAGGTGACTAATTTAAACAGTGCGCGGAGGCCGGGGCTGGCGCGGAGGGGCGATCCCGGCGCCTCCGCCCGCCTGCGTTAACACCCCCGTCCCGGTTAACCCTTGGGGAGGCCGCGGGGAGCAGGCGCGGGCGGGCCCGCGGTTCGGCCCGGCCCTGGGCCCGGCCCGCCGCGCGGAACCGCACTTCGACCCCGCGGGCCGCCCTCTGTGCCGTGCAGGAAGTGCGCGCGGCCGCGCTGCGCGTGAACGAGCCCCCGTCCCTGCGAGGCGCTGCGGCCGCGAGCGCGCTGATCGCCGCGTGTAGTTCAACATCACGCCTCCTGTTTCGTGCTATAAATTCAGCTTTACTCTTACACGCTGGGAACGTTGGAAGTGAAGGCGGGAGCTGTGCTGCAGTGGACCAGACTCAGCACCTGCTAATGCACTGCTTAATAATGTCCTGAATTTACAGTCCTGAGAGCCCACTTGAGACTGCAAAGATGGAGACTTAGAAGAATGAGAGCTGCAAGGTGTCTGTGAGACTGGGCTGCTTTAAATGGGTCCGAGACAAACTAGTCTTTACTCAGGATTGCCCAAACATGGGTGTTAATGCTTCCTGTGTTATATATTTCTGGTGGTCACATGTACTATTGTCACATAAACTAAATTTCTGTTCACTAGCTCTCCCAATAAATGATAGGGAAAAATACTGAAATGCTGTCACGTATCCTACCCCGCACCAAATCTGTGAGCATTCCTACAGAAAGTTACGAAATTAATCTTTTATTCTCGTCTCAAATCTCCTATACTCCTCAAAGCGTTTTTCACTCGTCACTCGGAATTCAGACAATGCCCTTTCCTCTCGGTGACTTTTAACTTTCACTTCCRCTATTTTGGCTAAATCATAATCCTGCAAAATAGCTGTGATTTCACTAACACCGTAGTAGATCGTGTGGCCCAGTTCTTGCAGTGCAAGAATCTTTTGTCAAGCAGGATCGTGTCAGGTCAACACAGAGCTAATTTGCTCATAATGCAATTCTATAACCTGCACACTGAAGAGGAGAATAGAAGCCTAGTCATATTCCCACTACTATAGATCCCCCAAACAGTCTATTCCGATTCCCCAAACAGTGAAACAGTTAAATCTATAATCTATAATAAATCTAATCCATGTAGTAAGGACAGATTCAACCTATAGTAAATGCTATGTATTTTACCTATCGACGACTACATTAAAAGATCTTGCACATTACAGCCAATTACGGATACTACGGATACTACCAGGGTCAATGCATAGGGGCAAGTAGGGATATACAGAAGAACTGAGTACTCTGAGCTCCCTTAAGCTGTTCTTTTAGTATTTAAATTATTTAAATACTTTTTTTTTTTAATCCTTCCCTTTATAGGTAGACTATGTGATTATGAAATASAGACAGTGTCTCAAGACACACATATTAATGCAATTCTGTTTTTCTAAAAGCTGTAGTCAGTCTAAACTCACTACAAGACCGTCACCTAGAGCAGAGAGCAGCATGGTTTATGATGATAAGGGACAAAACTAGAGAAACCTGCAGYTCATAAATGGTTCAGGAGGAAAAGGGTAGTGGGTAGTCATTTCTGGTTCCCTGTACACACAATGTTTTTGAAACTTAAGTGACCACTCATAATACTAAAGCTCCATCAATACATGAATGAAAAGATCGGTAGTGATAGTTTTGGTTGGTGATGTTTTGCTGTCCTTCCTTACGGTCATGCTGAGGCTGTACACTAGTCCATGTAGTTCAACATCCAGTGCCTMAAAGAGGGTGCCCAGAGAATAAAATGTGTGATACAGGATTTCTGTGTGCAGACTGTCTAGGCCTTACAGTACGAGTTGTGGAACAGGCTTTTTGCTGCCCAAMTTCTCTTAATCTAACTTGTCATGCTTGTTGCTGCCTGCCAAGATAGGAAGAAGTATCAACATCCAGACTCATCTGCAAGGGAAGAGTTAGGGAGCGCACTAAGAGCACTTGGATAAGAGGACAGAAGTTTCCAACTACRCAGTCAGCAGGGAGATCAGCAAGAAAATCTTCTGAATGGAGGTTACTAGAATAATGTCCAGAATAATGGCTGGAGAGACAAGAAGCAGCCAAGTCAGTTAAGATTTGTGGTTTGTTATGAAGAATTCTTRTAAACGTCCACATGAATTGTGGAAGAGCAATTAAAACATTATGCAAAGATTTGTAGTCCTTTTGGTCACTACAACTTGCTTCAGTAAATTCAAGTATTTTCAGTTTAACAAACTATTAACACAGATGAGATGAACAATGTGAAAATGCTGAGTTCTAAAATCAAGTTATTTTCTGAAAACTTTAATTACTATTTCCAAATGATAATCTCAGAAAATATGTCAAGAAAATTTGCTTACCAATGGGCTTCATTATGGGAATCATCGAGCTTGCACATTTTACAGTTTTACAATGATCTGTTAGAATATGTTATAAATATTTCTTCTCAGTGAGAAGGTAACTGACAATTTCTGTTTCAGTTACCTGTCATGAGCAAAGTGCCACGGATGTCTTATCAACAATGTGTATTTAGCYTTTAGAGGTTGTAAACACATTATATTAATGCAACAGATGTCACAGTTCTGGACTCTTTTGAGCTGTTCTAGCTCTTCCAATCTTCTGGATCAGCACAAGAGCTTTGCAGGAGAAAATACCTGTCTTCTGTGCAAACTTTATTTCCAGGTCTCCATGAAAGTCCTCTTCAGAACTGTGGTACTTCTGTCAGTTTTATATATGGCATACATTAATGGACTCTGAAAATGCCTCTATTTCATGCTGTTTTCAGCATATTGGATAATTTGCTTCCAAGTCCTCCTACAAGTTCAAACTTCCTAAATGATGCTGATGTTCAAACTTCCTAAATGATGATGATCTAAAACTCTTAAAATTTTTCTCTAGAAAAAAAAAAAAAAAAAAAAAAAATCAGTAATTCCTCTCTCTTCTCTGAGGGGAAAAAAAATATATTGGGGGAAAAATGGGAGCTGCTGATCACCAATAGTGAGTATAATACCTTGGAAAGAAAGGATAAATTGTTTACTAAAATGACCAGTTTGGAGTGAACTGTGAGCTTKAATTGACACAGCTTCAAATTTCATAGACATAAGAATCCTAGTAATGTAAGAGATACAGTTAAGTGGAATTAAATTAAGATTGTAAGGACTCAGAAAAGTCACTTATCTATGTCAGTATCACTTGATTTTTTTCCAGTCAGTGCAATGATAGTTTTCTTAGGTCACTACCTTTTTGCTCCCTCGAAAGAGTTTTTACTGGACATTTGTTTAACAATTGATCAATCGTTGACTGATCAATCACGGCAGCCCAGGATCAGTATTATCCTTCTTCATATGCTTCCTTCCACTCTCTCATCTTCTAAGATACATAAATAAAAATAACTGTATAGTTTCATCTTGTTTGTTCTCGGTCAGTGCCAAGAACAGGTATAATTAATGCTATCTCAGTCATGAAAGGGCAGTTGCTGTAGATGAAAAAACATTTGCACTRCGGAATTTGATTGGCACTTGTTTTATCACAATGCCTAGAGACGTAAGTTACAGGAACAGAGCTGGACACATTCTTTGTCCCTAGGCCTTTCTCTGAATCATTCAGTAGTTTTCATGGTATTCCTCTTTTTAAATAGAGGAGTTATTCAAAAAGAGGGCTGTGCATGCTTGAATATATACATTGTAGCTTAACAATAAGAAATGTCAAATGGAACTAACAGGCAAACCAAGACGTTGGTAAAACTTTCAGCATATGTATAGTACTTAGGTTAAAATCCAAATTCTGGTAGATTTTGAACTGGAAAAATAATCACATGTGCAAGAAGTTCTGAAACAATCTTTTTCAGATGACCAGAATGGCTAAATCATTTTCCTGACTTCAGCCCTAATCCATAGTCTGTCAAAATGATCTTACCAAGCCTTATAGAATGACAGGATTCCTCACAGCAACCTAACTAATCTTAGTGACATTATAAAGAGAAACAGGCACAAGGATACTGAACCAGAAAGCCAGGGCAAATAGAAGAGGTACGGAAACATCATACATACACACACACACACACATGACGTAGAAGGCAGAAAAGTTGTAAAGAAGGTTTGTTTTGGTTACAGAGAAGTGAGATTGTATCTAAACATTCTGTGGATTTGAAGTGCAGAAGGATGTAGGAAAGATTTTGCCAAGTTTTTCCTTGCTTTTTTTTTTTCATAAATTCTCTGTAACAACTGATTAAAATAAGTCATGCTGTAGCTCCTTTATTGAGCTGCCTCATACTTAATGAAAACACAGCACGAAAGGCTATTATACAAGTATTTTTTTGAATTCTCCAACAGTCTAAAACAGCTAGGGACATTATTGAAGAGAGTATCAGTTACTTTCTAATACTACTAAACATATATCCTCACCATCAGTGATGGAGTTCAAGGACTTGCCCCTATTCCTTTAATGATTTTTCTGCTCATTTTTGAATGAAATAACTTAATTAAATATGAGGTGACCTCTCACAGCTGACAGAAGAAGCTAATACAAATCTTGAAGCAATCAGACAAATATTTTMTCTCTCAAACTACAAGATGGGGAAAACCATGAACTCAAAGGAAATGACACAACCAGATGGATAGCTGTTTTATATATATATATTGTTCTTAATGTCAATCTTGCCTGCATGGGATTACTTGCAATAGTCTTTCATTACTGCACAGTTACATTATTGCAGTCACTGATACTTAATTTTCTAAGCTATGACAGTAAACCTACCTAGACAAAATAGCAGGCAAGAAATACAATATCTTGTTTAGTGAAGACAATTAGTTGGAGATGCAATAGAAAATTGTATRTTCTGTAAGGAAGTGAAATTGTTTTTATGAAACTATACAACTTGTTTCTCTTAATTACTTTCAGCAGAGCAAAACAGACAGCTAGTTTTGCTGCTCTGTACAGTTTAGCGGGCTAGTAAGTTTACTCATTCATTATCATTCCTTGACATGAAGCCATCTAAGTAGTTGTACTGCTTKGCAGCCTGAAGCCATCCCTGTGTCCCCATGCCAGCAAGGGCCCACCAAACCTCCCATCCTTGCAGCTTTGAAAGCAGCTTTGAAAGGTGTCTCAAGTCACATACTGGTATGTGTAGTCACCATCATTCAACATACTAGTTCTTACCCAGTATTTGCACCAGCATTTCCATAGATTCAAAGCACGCGAAGTTACTCCCTTCCTGAAGCTTTTCCGTCACTAAAAAAATACAGAAAATAAAGCCCTTAAACCTTCTCCTGTGGTTTAATTGCTCTTAGGTGTTCTATATTCTGAACTTTCCAATCCATGAGGATCATCCTTCCCATAAGAGCCACACCAGTCTCTTCTAATATTCGGGTGGAGTAGTGAGACACGAGCATCACAGAGTGAATCACTAAATCACTAACTCTTGCCCTGCAAAGATCAGAGAGCATTATTTTGCTACTACAGCACATAGTTATTTSAAAAGTTAGTGCTATGTAACTGTGGGGTTCCAGTACATCCTCTTCCTGATATAAGTAACATTTTCTTCAGTTTATATATTTTTCCCTAATTCATAACCTCATCCTCAGCTCCACACTAGATTCTAGTTCATCATCATCTAGTTCATTATCATCATCATCATCATTCCACAATGTAGAGTTGAGGTACCAACCAGGATGTCAATCCCACACAAGCCTAAGACTATGACACTGTATAAAATACTTCCTTTAAATCCAGGAGTTAAACCAACTTTAAATTTGACATATGGGGGCGGAACGTAAGATGTCAAAATTGAAATGTCTGAGGCACCAACTCAAAACTAAGGCGGAGAAAAAGAATAAAAGAGAGAGAGAAGATTGAACAGTGTTTTATATATATATATATATATATATATATAGCCATCTTTGTGTTTATTTCTGGTATAAAGAAAACAACCTCTATTGTTATGAAATGATTTTTACAAGAGAAAAAAACATCTTTCTGAGATATAAGACAAAGTAATATAGTGAAGCACTATTCCATGCATACATCACTGTATTTCTTTTTCTTTGGCTGTGGGACACTGAGAAACTAATGGTTTAAAGCACATATATTTTCCAAATAAAACTTACCACGTTTCTTTTTTTCTTTCACCCTGTTTCTTTATTCATGGTTCTATTTTTTATTTTCATTTCCATCTCTCATGCTTTCCCTCTCCTCTTTCTTCTTTTTTTTTTCAGTTGGCTTTACATTTTTTCTTTATTATCTTTTAATTTTGAATAAAAACATTTACACAAATGGATCATTTCTTTCCTTTCACCTATACTACGTATTTTTAGTTCTGCTTATCTTTTTTCTAGTCCCTCCTTTACTCCTGAGCTCTTTTCCACTACCATTCTCCACACCTCTGTAGAATTGTATTCTGGACTTTGTCACCTTACCCTCCTGCCTTGCAGCTACCATTTTCTTTGCAACTCCTAATGGATTTCTAACTTTCCTTTTAGGGCTTATGTTTTTCTTTATTCTGTTACATTAACTCCCTTTGACTGTTGTCAAACAAAAGTATTAACAAAATTCATTGTAATAGGCAAACATTGAAGAGACAGGTCCATTTATGGCCATGATGATCATAATCAAAATTAGGTTAGTTTATGTTTCTCTTCTTACCAGTATATAGATTATGCCACCCTGATCTGTTCTTTATCCACACTGCATTGTTCTACCTTCAGGATCCAACCTTGTTGTATTGGCAAGTGATGGTCCCTTCTTCATTGCTGTTTAAATTTAAAAAAAAAAAAAAAAGTGAGAACAAAGCAGTCGTGATACCTTTTGTTACCAAATACAGTATCTGAACTAGATGTAGTCATGAAGCAGTGACAGGAATTTCATGGCGTTCACAAGAAAACAAAACGAGTTAAACTGAAAAAGAACCCTAGAGGYCCAAATACCATTCAAGAGTATATATATTTTACAAGTGGAATAAAGGATTAAGTCAAACACATGGCCAAGTTTGACAATATAAACCAAAAGAGGGAATACGGCTTCTCTACCTCTGGTGACATCATTTTGAATTTTCCCAGAGAAAACACTTCTGATTCGGCCTGAACTGAGCATTTTATTATTATTTCTTGTCCTGGAATTTTCAGTTGAAGTCTTCCATTTTGTTAAAACTAGACACTCCTCATACAGATGAACTAGATGAGTTTTTTTCATCAGGGAATTTCCTAAMCAGTAATCTGCCCGCTAAAGGGCATCCTTTACTGTGCTAAAAACTAATCTTTCCTGCTTTGTTTCTACTTTGTACTTACGTTTTGTTTGTAAGTTTGTACTTAACACTGACTGAAATACCTAAGACAGTTAGTCTTAACAGAAAGTACTGCTTGCCCACTTCATACATATACAGTTTTTTTTTTTTTTTTTTTTTTTTTTT